TAAAAATAATTATCCCTAAAAATTTTTATATAGCTATTATAAATTATGTTAATTTGATTTTAGTATGAAATCCTCGAATAAACATAGCAAAAGTAACATAATCTAAATAATATCAGATAAAAAGTTCATGTATTTAAATTCTAAAAACTTAGAAAATCATAAATAATTTATAAATCGATTCAAATTTTCTTTTCAAAGGAGATTAAAATATTTTTGTTTTGCTTTTTGGACAAAAATCAGCTTGAAAACTGTCTATTGCCTAGAAACTTCGAGATATTTTCTATTTAAAATTAATTAAACCTCTCTGAGCAATAACAAAACATTATTTCAATTTTTTACAGTCAGAGCGTGGTTGCCTAGCAACATGAGCACTTTTGAATTAGTCAATGGGTTATCTTAAAATATTAATTGCGCAGGCGACTTTTTTTGGCGGTTTTCTGGACTATCGCCAAATATATAAACCTTTATTGCAACTCAATTTACGACCCAATTTTTTTAAAATTTTGTCTACCCCCCTAATTCAAGTGTCTAGATTCCAAACATGTAAAAAAAATTATATGTTTATTCAGAGAAAGTACGTTTTTGTGTCTGATTTCGTAACTTAATTAATAGTTAGCACTAATTAATTAGCATATTTGAGGTCACCCCAGGAACCATTACGAATGACACTTAGTTCGTGAAAATCCGATCATTAGAACGAAAGTTATTCAGGGTGATATCTTTTTTTTTTTTGCGGAATGTGCATTTAACTGTCTCAATATTAAGACTAGTATTGCTAAAACTATACAACAAAAAAATTTCTTTTTCATTCATTTATTAAATATTTTAAAATAAATAATAAAAGTTTAATTTATTAAATATTTTCGAAATAAATTATTGTCTGAGTTGAATAATATTTTTGACAATTTCTTAATTTTGATAACTACCAATTGTTCGGGGTTCCGATAAAAGAAGGTCTATCATTTAGGGTTCATAAAAAATTAGGAACCGCATTCCTTTGCTTACACAATACTTAAATAGTTGCTCATAAAAAGTTTAATAAAAGTAATGGGGTTTTCCCATTTCATCGTAAATGGGAAAACCCCTTATTTCAATGACCTGTCTCAGACCTGAAATCAATTTCTGTATTTATTTTCTCTTTCACTGTTTTGATAATTTTTATTGTCCAACGTTCATTTTTAATTTTAACTTAAATATTATTATTACAATTATTTTCAAAAGTTGAACATTGATTAGAAGAAAAACACGCGTGGAATTTAAATCATTCTCCCTCGAATGTCTGATATGAGGGTGCATAAACTTCTTAAGTTCACACGCATTTATTATTATATACATTTGAAGGTGACACTAACTCTCAATCAACACTTGCTGATTGGAATCAACAGGAGCAAACATCAGAATCCAGTTTGTCTAACAACGTTTAATCAGATCAAAACAACGTTAAGATCTTTCACTAACAGATAAACGCACTGATTATGAATTGTTTAGAAAAAAGTTATGGTAGAATGTTATTACGTCATAGTCAAATGATAATTTAATAGATATAAATAGGCAGTTATGTTTGGTATTTTCCTATTAGGTCAAAACAAGCCAATACTCTTTAAGCGAAATAAGATTCGGATATTTTTTTAATCAAACTACATTTTAAACTTATTATATATGACTTATAACCTTATAAACGTATTAACGCAGTCAGATATAATAACCTTTAAAATTCTTATATATGACTTATAAACTTATTATGAGTACTCCCCATTAGTGTGGCGTCAAGTTTAATTTATTAGAAAATGATAATTATCCAACTAAATATGGTATAGTCACTGTAAAAAGCCATAAAAAAACACTCCATTTTGCTATCACTGCACTAAAAACAAAAAATTTATAAAACATGGTTCAATTTTGAACTACAATATCTTGAACCATGGTAGGTAGCAAATTTACAGCAAACTAAAATAATTTTAAACTTAATCATGTTCCTGTTAAACCCTAATATTGTGCATTAAAATAGCTGCAAATTAGAACTATAATATACACTACTGGCCATTAAAATTGCTACACCAGGAAGGAATGCAAATAACAGAATGATATTTATTGGGGACATACATTATAGTTGGAAGAACAAGTGATTACATTTTCAGGATATTTTGATGAATAGATCCAGAGGAATAAGTACTCAGAGCAGCCTCCCCTGACAACAATAATAGCAGTTACTCTCCTGGGCATCGAGTCGAGCAGAGATTGGATAGCATGGACGGGTACAGCATTCCATGCAGCTTCAACATTATGCCACAATTCATCGACCGTAGTGACTGACGTGTGGTTAAGTGCTAGTCGTTCGGCAACCATTGACCAGATTTTTTCAATTGGTGAGAGATCAGGAGAACGTACTTGACAGGGCAACAGGTGAGCATGTTCCGTGTCAAGGAAGGTCAGAACAGTGCTTTCAACATGCGGCAGTGCATTGTCCTGCTGAAACGTAGCGTTATGGAGGCTTCGAAATTAAGGCAGAGCAACTGGCCCTAACACATCAGAAATGTAACGGCTACTGTTCAAAGTGCCGGCAATGCGAACATGAGGTGATCGAGACGTGTATCAAATGGCACCCCATACCATTACTCCAGGTGATGGGCCAGTACGACGATGTCAAATGCAAGTTGCATATGGGCGTTCTCCACGATGTCGCCAAACACGGATGCTACCATCAGGATGCCGTATAGAGAACATGGATTCGTTTGAAAAGACGACGTCATGCCATTCCTGCGTTCAAGTTCGTCGTTGACCACACCATTGAAGGCACTTCTGCCTGTGATGCAGCGTCAAGGGTGGCCATGGTCACAGTGCTGACAGTCCATACTACTGCTAATGTCGTCGAACTGTTCGTGCAGACACTTGTTGTCTGGCAAATGATCCAATTTGTTGACTCAGGGTTCGGTGAAGCAGCTGTACGATCTCTTAAGGCCATGTGGATAACATGTCTGTCTTCTCGACTGTTAGTGAAGGGGGGCCGCTGAGACCCAGCACGACATTCCATATGACCGTCATGAACCCATCAATTACATATTCTGCTAACAGTCATGGGTTCCCGACCAACGCGAGTAGCAATACTTCGGTATGATAAACCGCAATCCCGGCAGGCCACAATTCGTCCTCGATCAAACCAAGACACGTGCTGATAGGCGTTTTTCCTTCTTACAAGAGGCATAATAAGAACTTTTTTACTCAAGAACACCGCTCAAATTCAATTTCTGTATGAGAAACGTACTGCCAAATCTCTTCTTTTATACGCATTGTAGGTGTCGCTACATCCACCTGCTTTGCATGAATGCGCTGATAAGCTAATCATTTGCATACCACAACATGTTTTATCCATTCTGCAAATTTCACGTTCCTGGTGTGTCGCCTTCCTGGTGCAGCAATTTTAATGGCCAATAATGTTGTTTAATGTTCAATGGAATTTTTAATAATTTTCCAGTTAATGCTTTCTCCAAGGATACTTTATGCGTTAAAGTTAACAAAACCAGGGGAGCAGGCAGATCTTCCGGGTATAGTTCAAAATTATGAGACTTTGAATAAAAACTAACAGCCTAAACTAACCCCGACGCATAAGAAATCGTAGCTTTTATCCATTGTTTAGTAAAATTTAGCATTAGAGTAAAAACTTTTTACGTTTTACTTTCTATTCCATGAGATTTTAGCTCCTAATAATTGGCTCTGGGTCAAAAAAAATTTCTGTAATTTTGAAGAGCTTTGGAAGTCTTAAATCCTATATGGATCCGATATTTGTATGACGGTCACGAAAAGTTTCTAATTATTTACTTTACTTATTACATGGGGTTTACTTTTATTACTCAACGTCATCCCCCCAGAACAGCTTTTGGAGTATCTGTCGGATCGTTTCGCGATTCGTTCTCGTTTATCACACTAACCAGATACTAAAACTTAGTAGTCTAATATTGTTGTTTAAGCGATATTCTAGTACATATCCAAAACTGTTGTATCTGACGTTTTTGCTGATACAATACTCGGTTTGCAAACTCATACGTCCTAAAGTAATCAACAAACGAATGCATACGATAGTTAAAACAATGCAATGCATACAATAGTTCTATCCTCGACCCACCGAATACATGCGATTTATGTGCTCGAAAAGTCAGGAGAATCGAAAGTCCCGTGGCTGATCACTGAGCAGTACCAAGTGTACAGGAATTAGGAAAAAATTTCCCTCCCCTTCAGATATTTGTCAAAACTGGGGAAGTAGCCTCAAGAATGTTTCAATCCAACCGAGAAGCTCTGAGCTAAGTCGTAATTTCACCCTTGCGGTGTTCTTGTATCAAACGAAATGCACGCCTACCTGACTTAAATCGCCAAGGCAAATGGCTGGCGTGCTTGGCTAGCCCAACTGCCATAAAAAAACATTTAGTTAAAAAAATATAAGTACCAGTAGAATTCAATATCAGCTGTAGTTATAACATTATTGTTTCCTTCTCTTAAAGTGTCCCCAAAAATTTAAATAAATCATTTCTCTTTCCGTCATAAAGAATCGCGTAGTCAAATTATGTTTTAGTCATACTCCTTTCATACGATTCTCTTTATTCACAACAAAAGGAAACCATTAATCCGCTTATAAGTATAGCTTTCCATACATTTGAATACAAAAGCTCTTCCTTATTAATTGTTTTTGATCACTTTTTTTCTCTTTTGCACCTGGCTTTACCCAGTGTATTCCTGTTTAATATCAGTAAATAAATGTTACCTCACCTCTGTCTAGTGAAATGATGTTATTCAAAATTAGAAAAGGAGGAAAATAATATACAAAAATTTTTTTAAAAGAGAGAGAGAGATTTTATTGTAGATAATAGGGGTGAAGGCTTTACAGAGAGTAAAGAGCGGATTTCAAAAAAGAAAAAAAAAGGAAAAAAGAAAAAAAAACGGATAAATTATTATGTTATCATAAGTCAAAAAGAAGTAAACAAATAGTTGATAGACTGACCTTTTTTTAAAGATATGACTTAGATTAGGATATAAAGTTTCGGTCAGTTGAAAAAAGTTTTTAGTTCTTTAGTAACTTTGTCTCAGTTGGATAATAAATTTTTTAGGTTTTTAAAAACTTTTTGTGAGGATGTTTACTAAGCTGCTTGTTTTTGTTGCGTGTATTGGAGGTGAGAATATCTTTGAAATTTTATCTCATTATATATAATATCATGTTATTGTGTAATTATTATTTTATAGAACCATTAAAGTATAGTATTGATTTTCGTTTTTTAAGCTATTGAATTAATTGCATTATTAATTCATTTAAAATTACTACCATTAGATATTTATATGAAAAAAACTACATATAAAATTATAAATTATTAATGTAGTTCTAAAAAAATAATAAATAAAATAACAATAAATAAATAGTTATAATGTAGGTTTAAAAAAATAACACTGCAAATGCATGACAGATCGGTTTATTAAAACTTGCATTTTAAATACGGTGTAAATAGGTTTCGATTTACAAAATAAAAATAACACAAAATATACAAATGTTTAAAAGAAATTAATTAATTAATGCTTAAATTCCAAATATTTTAAATGCATTTCATTGTATTAATATTGTATTAAAAAACAACATTGTATTAAAAAAAAATATTAATTTAGGAATTTATTGCATTATTAGTTATTATTATCACTATAAATTAATTACTATATCAAAAACAACATCTAAATTTTTGAACTATTTGTATTGTTTCTGAAGATAAAGTTCCTTATTTTTGACTGCATTTCATATTATAATAAAATATTTTAAAAAAACTGTTAATTTTCTTTGAAAAAAAAGAAAAAAATTATGAATTGGAAGAAAAAAAAGTATAAAATATGTTTTAGAACTTATAATTTTTTTTTTCACTTTAGTTTAGTTTTCTTCGTGAAAGACATTTTAAAGCTTATTTATTTCCAAGTGATAAATGATGTCCGTCTCTAAAAGAATTTAATGTTCCGAATTTAATTGTCTCATTATAAGTTTTACTTCCGAAAACTAGGTCGCACTATTTAAAATCTTCGAAACTCTTGCTTTAACCTCTTAAATAGTCAAATAATTTTTGAAAGAAAAAAAAAACAGTCATAAAAGTGCCTACAAGAAAGTTACATAAAACTAGGTTTTTGTATACATGTCTTCCTCTCTAATTGTTGGGTTAAACGCAAACTTACTTGTTTGATGACTGTGGTGACATCTAGTTAAAGTAAACAACTAAACACATTACAAATAGTCAAGTACAGTGTTCTGGTGTATAGATTGAGAAATAAGCATAGTACCGAGCATATGAAATAGATTGTTTTAACTTTAATAGATTGTTTACTTTTGTGTTAATAGATAGATTGTTTTAGTAGATTGCTTTTGAACTATCCAACCTGAAAACATCACGGGAACAGGAAATAGAGGACGAAACTTTTCTCCGTTGTTTTGACACGAACGAGAAGATAGCTATGCTGAATTTTAAAAAAATCTCTTTACGCCATTTTTTAAAAATAATTAATTTTAATTTAATTTGTTCAATTTTGAATTATCATAAGTCAAAAATTATTCTTGAAATTACATATTTTTAACTTTTTAAGTAAACATGTCAAGCCATGGCGGTTGTTTTATTTATTTTTGAAAGTTGCAATCAACCTGGGGCTGCAAACGGAAATTAATTTTTGAATATGACGGGTTGAAAACAAATATCAATAATTCGTTAACTTGAGCAATATTCAGGTTAAATACTTCGCTAGAAAATGAGCAATTAATTTATCAATTTTATAATTATCATTTGTTTCTAAACCCTAGTCATTATTTTTACATTTAGTTTAGTTTATTAAGAATGTAAAACTCATTATTACATTAGGAGGCAATTTTTTTTCTTTCCTGTTGCACGAGATTTTTAATAGATCTTACATGCATTCGTATCGCTGATTTCAAATCTGCAATCGATTTCTCTATCCAAACTGCAATTATTTTAATGACATTTGCAGTCAGTTTTTTGTCAAGCATTATAACTGGAGATCACATAAATATTGCAGCAAACTTCTAGGGGAGTTAGGGCACATCATTTGGATTAAAATGAAATCGATGATTGGAATCATATATCGGCCACCACTACGGGCGCTTTCCTATTATCAAATGTTTCTTCGTGTGCTTCTGAACAGATCATAATAGGGTAGTTTCCATAGCCGCGTATAATGATATTTCTGGGCATGGATTCCTATATGCTCATTTACGTGAATCCCTGTTGTACATAGCATTTTGAAACTTGTACATTTGGGCAAACATTAACTATAACTGTCATTTTGAAATAATAAAATCTTTAGCTTTAGGAGCAAAACTAATTTCAACTTTGAAATGTCCTTCTCTGAGTTAGGCAAGACCAAGTTTGTATAAATACAACAAAACATTTATTCCCCAGTGTAATAATTTATCTTATAAACCGTATTATTATAATTTAAAATATTAATCTTACTATTACAATTTATGTTTATTAATTTTTTATTATTATTCAGTTGATCCTCGTTTAATTACCAGTTAATTTATCTACCTTATTATTATCACTTCCATTATTAACATTTAGTTTATTAATTTTAATATTCATAAATTTATTACTTTTATTATTATTTATTACTTCTGTAACAATTCATGAGACTTATAATCATCATTCCAAACTATTTGTTCGTCTACTGACTTGTCTCATTTTGAAAATACAATAGTTTGCTGCACATTCCCTAATGATTAATATTTAATATACGCTGATGAGATCAATTCACGAAGCTAAATTAATAGCTGAAAAAATTAATAATAAATTAATAATTGAATAATTAAATTAATAAAAAATTAAATTAATAATTGAAATAAAAAATTAATAATCCCTTAATTATGGCGAAACAAATTAGGCCGTAATTAAGAGACGCTAGGGAAGAATTGAATGGTGGTCATTCATTTTCCTGAAGAAAGATTAAGAAAAAATATTTCTTTAAAAATTTGATCCTCCACAAAAATTATCTGAGTGTGAAATGTTTTGAAAAAATTAAATCCTTGACCTTATCTATCATTTACTTGATCTTATTCTATCATTTTAAAAATTTAGAAGTCTGCTCTTGAAATATTTTATTTTCTGACAATTTAAAGGAAAAACTACTTTTGTTCTTAAATTTGTGAGTTTTTTTTTTGTATAAATAAAACTGTACTACAATTTTGACCTCCAAAATGACTTTAAACTGTGAACGCGAAGATCACGTAACAGGAAAATGTGTTTTTCGTCACGATTAAAGTAGAGATCATAACTATATAAAACAAAATCAAATACTTTAGTCAGACAAAGAATTGAATGCGTTTTTTATTCGAGTCATAAAAAGTACTGTAAAAACATGAAATAGGAAATCATCCACGTTTTCATTGTGAATAAAACATCTGTCGTTTCTTTGTTTTTTGTTTGTTTTTTCTTTTTTGTTTTTTTTTAATTTGTCAGAAATATATTCCTGAATTTTCTGGTATGTTGAAATCCTTGCTCAACAATTCAAAATCCATCTGTTTAATTGACAGATTTCTTGAAATAAGATTATGCACAGGTGTATATTCGAGATTTTTTTAATGAACAGCTCGTATACGTAATAAAAAAGCCTTCTGATACATAAACAGGGGTAAAAAATAAATAAAACAATTAAAGGTCTGTTCGTCAATTTCCAAATAATAATTTAGAATTTTCTTTAATTGCGTTACCTGATATTATAATATTTATAAGGCATATTCTCCAAATTTCAATTGAAATTCTATAAACATCTACCAAGTATGTTCTGCATCATAATATAACGTTATTTTTGAATTGTATTCTCAAATTCTTGCATATTCTGTAAAAAATTCGTTTTTTAGTCAACAAATAACATTTTATAAGTAGACTACCTGGTTTTGCTTGGTATGCGATTTCGAATTAATATCGGAACACTTAAACATCTTGAAAGCTTTAAAACGTCAACTTTAATCACTTATCTGAAATTTAATATTAAATCTATAATATTTCCTTAAAAGGACGCTATACTGCGAGAAAAACTTTTCATCTCAAATTTTGTTTCCCCTCCATAAGTAATTTAAAATTTAAAGTCTAGAAAAAGGGAGTTTAGGATAACTTATTTTAGGTTTGCCCGAAGTTGAAAGATAAAGTTTCAAATACTGAAAAAAAAAATTTACATATCAGAATGCGAACAATTTATTGGAAGAGAGCTTCTTTAATGCGTAAATCTAAGTTATTCTCTCATAATTTGTTTTATTTTTTATATTTTAAAAATTTCTTTTCACTATTTAAAACTTCGTAGCTTACTCTAAGAGTGCCTGTACTCACTTTTCCTATTATTTAAATTTTAAATTACTTATGACTTTGAAAGAGAATTTGTAAGGAAAAGTTTATCGCGTGGTAAAACGTCCTTTTTAGCTACGCTAGTTTGTTTTATATAAATAAATGAAATATAAGAGAGTTTTTAATCATAGTTTATAAGACATAGGAGCAATCACAAACTATTACTGAAATTATTACTAAGCTCTTTATGTACCATGAATTAAATAGTGCATTTAAGATACAATATTTGAAAAGAAAAATACAGTTAAGTACTTGAAAACTTGCTCAATAGTTTTCTCAAAAAAACTTTTTTTGGCCGACTGTACATTTTGATAAAAAAAAATATATGAATTACAAATAAAAACACATCAGCGAAACATTTGAACTCAAACTGTAGGATTCTAATTTTCAAAATGTCTCAAAGAAAGTTTTCGTCAGGAAGTAATCAGTTAACTCTAATCACGGTGAAACATTATTATTATGATGAAAAATCTCGTTTATGATAGATATTTTTTTTAAAATTTAATTTTGACGTAATTGCACCAAAACAAAAATAGTCAATGATTTGTCAAGTTCTACAGTTTAAGTCAAAAGTTCTGCCATTTTATGTTTGTTTAATTCCTATTTTTCTTTACTTCGTTTGGAGGTTTTTAAAAACTAAAGAAATTGTTTTGTAGAAGGCTATTAGCTTTTAGCACAAAGAAAAATCTGTAATTGAAAAAAGAATCTAGAGTAGATTAATATTTTTATTACTTAATTTGCTTAGGATCAAAAAATGTTCCATGTAATATACAGAGTATTTCTTAACCACTGTCCTTACAATTTTATAACTCACAATCATATATCTTATAATTTATGACAGCATTATAAAAATCAAAAGGTATTCTGGGGAAGGGGGAGAAAAAAAAACACCCGAAACAGGTTTGAATGCCAAAGACGAGTTGAAGGATTATTATTAAAAACTCTTTCAAGTTTTATCAGGCAATCAAACTAGTTTTTATGTATTTCATCGCACCTCTACAATACGAGTGATTCGACTGATTTCTAGATTTGTGATTCATCCTCTCTTTGAATTCATTATTTGCTTCATTTTTGACAAGGATTCCGGAAATATATATGCATTATTTAAAACCCATTAAATATATTAAAAAAATTGTGATTATAATTTTTATATCTTCCTAGATCTAAGATTTAATTTTAATTCGATTAAATCACTAAACTTTAAACATTAAGATGAGCATTAAATTTCAATCAATAACTGGTTTATTTTGTTTATTGTGCAACGATTCATTTATTCATTCAATTTAATATACTTTGCAGTTATACTGGCAGCTGATAACAACGCTGTTCTGAATTGTATGAAAGGAAAGTATGACGCTGATGTAAGTATTTTTCAAAATGACAGCAATATTACTGCGAATACCTACTATGTTGATAATAGTCCATATCAATTTCTTCAAAACTGTTGCCTGATTTAAACTAAATTCACTAAGAAAATATCTTCCCATTATTTTTCCTTGTTTGAAATGTTTATTATACCATACTGAATTTCGAATACATTTTCGAATGTTTTTTTAATTCACGAGTTGTTTAATTTCCATAAACCCTCGATGCCAGGGCTTCACGACGTCTTACAAATCGTAACTAGTTCTCAATATTTCATCCAAATTTAATCGTTTTTTTTTTCAGTTTCGGGTTAATTTTGAAGAAAAATTAACCAGGCACCAAGAAATTTTGAATTTCTTATAGACCCCTAGTAATAAGTGTACAAAAACTCTTTCCAATCTTCATTGAAGCATTTAAAAATAGTTTTTATTTTGAAAACTAAATTATAAAATAAATTCATATAATTTTCTTTTAAAAGGTGAAATATGTTTTTTGTAACTCATTGTCATGTTAGACTTAATTTCTTTTTTCTCCTTTCGAAATTGAATTTCAAGTGATAATACTTGAATTTGGATATTTTACTTCAATTTTTCTCAGAAAACTTGCAAAATACATTCGTATTTTGTATTTTAGTTTTCTCAAAAATTAATAAGTAAAAAACATGCAATTTTAATTTTACAAATTTTTAAAAGATATTTAAGTAATAAGTAATTACAATAAATAATAACATAATAAGTAGCACTAATAATAACAAAATTAATATTAATAAATAATAATATAACTGAAAAAAATAATAAAATGCATAGTTTCTTAAAACAAGTTAAGAAAAAAATAAATTTTGAAACCGGATGTCCTCAGATATACAAAAATTGGAAATATTAATTTCTAATTATTTCAATTTTTTTTTTGTTGTTATTATTTGCTAACGTTCAGTTTGAGTTAAAACCCGTAATATCTCATCTTTTGGAAGAAAATTATTTGTATTATTTTTTAAGTTATTAAAAAATCTGAACATTAACCATTTACTATACTGAACAGCCTTAAAATTCTAACTTTCATTTATTTTTATCATTATAAATTCAGAATTTTGCGAAATTGCTAAGAATTTTACGAACAGTTTCACGAAGTTATTTTTCTAATTTTTTTAAAATTTTATCATACTATTAGAGAAAGCGAAATACAGAAAGCCACTTTAAATTTCAATTAGTGTCAATATTTTGATCCTTTGTGTTAAAAATTTACTTAATTTTCTTTAGCTGGGCAATTCTTTTACCAGTTGCTACGAATCATCTAGAGCCATGAGGCCAGAAAGAGTGAAGACAGTAAGTTAAACAAATTAAAAATGTATGTGTTGTACTCAGAATTATTTCAGTATAATTTATTATGATTAATTCTTTTTCTTTGTCTTTTTTAATAGTGCTTCACTAAAGTAATGAAAGATAATGGAGTCGTTGTGAGTAAAATATGCTTTTTTCTTTTATATTTTTTGTATCAAAATAGTCTAAGTATGTTATAAATCCTCATTTTATTATGATAATTTATATTTATTAACATACAACTGTTTTTAGCCAGATTGTTCACAAAAGAATCTCATACATAATTACTTTTTAAGCAAACTAAAAAAAAATTTCGTGCAACTTAGTTTATAGAATGTACCAGAAAAATCAACCAGACAATCATCAAAAAGTATAAAAAGGCGAAAAGACAATTGCTTAAAGCAGGGTATTTAATCATCCTTTGTAGAATCTTGGGCATGCATTTGAAATAACTTTTTTTGATCATATATTCACATACTAAGATGTTTCCTAATACGAAAAGTCCCGCAGTGGACTGATCGTTAAGACACGGTTCCCAGCAGATCACCAAAGTCAAGCATCACTGGCTGCGGTCAGTGTGCGGGTGGGTGACCACTTGGATCAGTCTGCGTAGGGAAAGAGGGTGTGCGGTATTCGTCCTTGTTAAACTGTGCTACCGTAAAGTGTCTCGACTTCGCGCGCAGGTCGTCGGGCTACCAAAGCGGGGGTGCCATCCCCTCCGCGTCTTCGGATCATCCTCCGGGATGTTTCCCAGACCGTCGCCAATAGCCCATTGTCAAGCTCTAGTGCGACGTAAATTAACAACAACATCCTAATACGAAAAGCATGATTTAGCATGATTAGTTTAAGAACAACCATTGCCGATGTTTTGCGAAATGTAGTGCAAACGGCAGGAAGAAATAAAATATCAAATAGCTTTTGATTTAATAATCAGATTTTAACGTTGTACGAGGCAATAGAAATCTTAATCCTGTATAAATAATAAATCTCCGGAAAAGCCTAGTTGAATTTCTTTGAGTAAACTTACCCTTTCGGAAATTGATTCTTGACCTTAAAAGTACAAAAAGTCTCACGAAACTTTTATACTTTGAGGATACAGGTTGTAAGTAAAATACAGGTTCTCAGTACAGAAAACTAATTCAATCCCTTTATACTATATTTCTTTGCTCTTTTTACTCGATGTAAGTTTTGGTTTAGTTAGCACTATATTTCTGGTAAGTTAGCACTATATTTCAGGTAAGTTAGCACTATATTTCTGGTAAGTTAGCACTACATTTTTGATGTCAATTCACGCATTTCCGGTAATGCTGATTAATGAAAACTATCGTTAGTCTCGTATGAGTAATTCAAAATTGAAGAGAATCATTTTTATACAGGAGATTTAAATATATAAAGTTTTCGTGACACAATTATTTGATTTCATTATTAAAATATTTATTTTACCGTCAAAGTAATTATTTTGATGCTCAGTAAATTTACTTATAGTGACATAATTTACTTTTTGTGTTAAGTACGAGATGGCAAGAAATAACTCAAATTTAAAAATCAAATATCTTTATTGCAAACAAATTTTGCAAGATGTTATGCTTTCGTTGGACTCAAAAAAATTTTTTTTTAGTATTTAAAAATGAATATTCCTACAAAATTGTTTTCAGCTCATGGATCTAATGATACACAAAGGAGATAAATAGACTATATTCTTATGCAAAAGTCACGATGCTCACCAGATATGAATTGAATGGATTTTTTTTCCATTTTGGAAATACGGGTTTATGCCAAGTCCCATAAAACTTTGTCATTTCAAAATAACCTAAGTAAATAATGGGGAAAATATCAGCAGATGAATTGCAGCTCAATGCTGAAAAATTTTTGGTACATTAACAACTCTGCAACAACGGCAAATATTTGCTATAATGAAAGTTTGCAAATACGTTTCAGGTATTTTCATGCTTGTTTGCGTAATTCTGGTTCAGGTATTTTCGAAAGCAATTAAATTAGATCACTATATTTTTCCCTATTATTTCTTATCCCCCTATATTATTTTGATTGACAAAATGATTCCAATTCAAGATCAAGTGCAAATAATTGCAACGTCTATGCGATTAAGTATAAGCTGAACATGAATAAATTCAATTCCAGATTACTGCCAGCAACGGTCAAATGACAGTAGACCGCACGAAGTTTGGAGAATATGGAAACGCTAACAGTCAGAAACCGATTGGAAAAGCCATGAAGGAGTGCTTCAGTAGTGCCCGATCTGGTGACGACATGTACAAAGAAGTAGGATTATTTTAAATTATTTATCTCACTAAATATATATATATATGTATATATATATATATAATAATAAAGTAAATACAAGAAAACACGAAG